AATTTAACTAACAGTATACTAAGACTGCATTCTGGTTGCGCGTCCCTCAGGTCGTTCGCTGAGTGGGTAAGTCATTGCGACGAAGGCGTGATTGGTTGCTCAGCCTTGTTAGACCTCTCGCCAGGTGGTTAGGGTGCACCGATAGCTTGGTTAAGTACTTTACCTTCTGTTCAGCGATCACTACTTTGACTGGTAGAATGTTTAAGTTGCGGTGTATGTTTTCGTTGCGAACGTACCACGGTGCCCCGGTGATTGTTCTCAAGTTCTTCGACTGAACTCTTTGAACTATGTCAATGTTGCTATTGCTGGCGTTCCCCCATAACTGGGAGCCGTACATTAATATAGGTTTTAGGACCGAGTTGTACAGCAGGACTTTATATTCAAGACTAAGAGATGACCGAGCGTTGATAAGCCAATGAAGGCTGCTGGCTTTTAGCTTTAGGTGTGTTCTTTTGGCTTCAATGTGCCGGCGCCATGTGAGTCTTCTGTCGAGATGTACTCCTAGGTATGTTACTTCGTTTGCTTGTGGGAGTAGGGTGTTGTTTAATGTAATCGGCGGGCAGTTTTGCCTGTCCAGAGTGAACGTCGCCAGTCTGACAGCCATTTTTCAACATCGACCAAATGAAGAGCTAGCTGCGCAGTTGTTTGAATCGGGCATTTTGAGCGGCTAAGAATAGCTGTGTCATCGGCAAACGTGGATGTTGTTAGACGTGTGCTTGTCGGGATGTCTGCTGTGTACAGGACATATAAAATTGGTCCTAGCACGCTACCTTGAGGAACTCCAGCTCCAACAGTGTAGTCGTCAGAAATAGCAGTGTTGCACCTCACGACAAATTTTCTGTCGTAAAGGTAAGACTCTAAAATCTTGTGCTGTAGGGGAGCATTGTCTTGATCTTGTACATTAGACCTTCTAGCCAGACTCTATCAAATGCTTGAGAGACATCTAAAAATATGGCAGTACAGTACTCCAGTTTTTCGAACGCGTTCCGAATTTCGGATGTTATCCGGTTGACCTGCTCAATTGTTCCATGCTTTTCACGAAACCCAAATGGGTGTGACGGAATTCCTTCCTGGATTCTCAGGTATGTGTTTATCCGAGTCATTAGGCATTTTTCAAAGAGTTTAGATAGGCAAGAGAGTAGGCTTATAGGTCTATACGACGTGGGGCTAGTGTGGTCTTTCCCCGGCTTTGCTATCATTATTATAATCCATCTCGCTGGAAAGTGGCCAAGTTTTGCGATGGCATTAAATAGCTGGGTGAGAGTGCAAACGGCGCAGTATGGGAGCTCAATGATCATTTTGGGAGTTATGATGTCGCAGCCCGGGGATTTTTTTCGGATTCAGTTGTCTTTTGATGATGTTAACGATTTCGTTTGAGCGAAACTCAATTGGCTCATGTTGAGGCTGGGGCTCATATGATAGAGTCGGCAAAGTAAACGCATCGGTGGCAGGATTTGGTTGGAAGACATTTTTAAGGTGTTTGGCAAACGTGCTGGGTCTGTCTGCGTCGCTGCGCGCCCACCCGCCTGTGGAATTTCTAATTGGCATCACGGTTTCTTTTGGTGAGCTCATAGTTGGGTGAGCTCTCCATAGTGAGTGTTTTGTACTGTTAGTTGACAATTGCTCTATGTAGCGGCGGTGGACATACGTTTCTTCTTGCTGTAGAGCTTGATCAAGTTGACGTGAGGCTTGTTTTAAACGTTGCTTAGCAGATGGCGATCTGTGACATTGCCATTCTCGTCGTAAGCGTCGCTTTTCGAGGACGAGCTGTTCGATTTGTAGATTTGTCTTCTTTTGAATATATTGTGTGTTTGTAGTTTGAGGTGTTGAAACTCGAGCTGCAGAGACGAGTACAGACTCCAGTGAATTAACAAAACTGTCTACGTTGGCTTCGTCGCTGAGGTGAGGACTCAACTCAATGTGTGAGCTGATATACTTCCTGTACTTAACCCAATTGGTTTTATGTGAGGTCAGTTTTGATGAGTGATCCCATGTTCCTGGGTGTCGGAGTAGAGTAAAGAGGACAGGCGAGTGGTCAGATGAAAGATCCGAAAGGCATTCGGTAATCGCAAAGTCTATTAAATCGGGAAGTTTCTTTGGGTCTGCCGGCCAGTATGTTGGAGTGCCAGAGGAAACATAGTCTAGCTTGTTCTTAGCTTTGATAATTGCATTATAGAGCTGCTTTCCTTTTGGGGTCACGAGACGAGATCCCCAGTGTGTGTGCTTGGCATTGTAGTCTCCTGCTGCTATGAAGTGGTCTCCGAGTGAGTTGAAAAACTGCATAAACTCATCTTCGGCTATGGTGAAGCGTGGGGGCAGTATACGGCGGCTAGAGTTAGTTGCTTGCCAGTATTTAGGTGTATATTTATTGATGTGGCCTGTATGTAGTTTTTAGTAAATTTCGTATGGTAATGGTGCTTAATACGGCTTCTGATTAAAATTCCAGTCCCGCCGTGTGCTTTACCATCTGGATGATTTGTTCCATAGAATGTATATCCTCGTAGTTGGAAATTGTATTTGTTTGTAAGATGTGTTTCTGAAAGCAGCATTACGTCGATTTGATTGTTTGCTAACTCGAGTTTGTGCTGCGAAACGCCGTTAGCGTTCCACGTAGATATTCGTAGGGAAGTCATTATTTGGATTGTTGTGAAACCAGAATTTGTATAAGTAGATTTTGGTTTCGCATTAGATCTTGCATAGTTGTACGCATAAACGACATAAACTCCGTAAGGCTTTGTTGTAGACTGCATATCAAATATTCAAAGTTACTTTTTGGCTGCTCCGGCGGTTGATGCTGCTGAGCCGTGTTCGGTTCTTGGTGTGCTGATTGCGGCAGTGAGATTTTTGGGGCTGGGGTAGCCAGTCCTGATTTTAAAGCGCTTACGTATGTGACATTTTTGGCGGAGTTTATGGGTCCTAGTGAGGATCTGGCTGCAGTCGAGAAGAAGACTTCAGGGTTTGACCTGGAGGCTATGAACTGATTATTTTGGGTGCGGGCAGTAGATCCCCTCTGGTGGATGCGACTTTTCAGCTCCTTATAAACTGGGCAACCTCTATAGTTAGCAGTGTGATTTCCACCGCAGTTGCCGCACTTTTTCGAGTTCTGGTCATCTTTGCTCGCTGGGCAGTGTGCGGAGTCATGAAGCTCACCACAAACTACACACACCGGGCGCAGTTTACAGTAAGACCTTGTATGGCCATATTCTTGGCAGTTCGCACATTGTACCGGGCCATTGCGTTTGTGCGGCTCCTCAACTGTAATTCTGCGGTGCAGCAGGAACTGAAGATTGTATATAGGGAGCACTTCGTATTTCTTTAGGGGCTTAATTTGTGGCTCGAGCTCAACCTTAAAGAGTGGCTGTGGCTTTCTATCCCTGTTAAGGATATTGAAGACTGTCTTGGCGTTAAATCCCTTCTCTTGTAGCGCCTTTGTTATCTCTGCAGGCGATACTTCGGGCTCTATGCCCTTAAGTACGACTTGCAGGCCCTTGCTGCTTTTTAGCTGATACGTGTAAAAGTTCTTTTTTTGTCGGTGAGGTATTTCGATAATACTCTGTAATTATCTTCAGACTTCGTTTGAACTTTTGTTTCCTGGATATTGCCCTTTACGAGTGGTATTATGTGGAAGTTGTCCTTGCCAATAAGCTCTATAATTTTCTTGACAAGAACGTTGGAACTTTTTTCTCGTATGTAAATTGGCGGGGGCTTAGGCTTCCTTTTTCGACTTCTGTAGATTCGGCGTCATCCTCATAGTCTGCCAAGATTTTAAAACGGTTTGAGTTCGTGGGCGTTTCTATTGCAGCTATGTTAGCATTGCCTCGGGTTATTTTCCGTTGAGAGTTAAGGGGGCTCAGCTTCCTTTTGATTTGGATGTACCGATCCATACCAGTCCGCACAGCCGGCTTTATATTTTCCTTGTTATTGTTCTCTTTTTCGGGCAGCGCAGCGGCAGAAGTATTAATGTTTGCGCTGCTAACTGATAACGTCGTTAAACGCGCTGTCGTTACAGTTGCGGTTGTTGTTGTTGTTACGGTTGACGTCGTCAAAGAAATTGCGGTGCTAGTTACTGCGCTCTTTGGCTGCAGAGACATCGATGGTAGCGATGGGGAGCAAGATCGCGCTCTCTCGCTCTCTACGTTTAAGAATTCGGTCAAGTTTGGGGTAATTGACCGTGTTTGTGATGAGCTTGCATTACTTTCGGTTGCTTTGAAAGTGAAGTAAGCGTTGTTTCTTTGTACTGAGAGCCGTCTCTCGTCTTGCTCACGTTGACGTTGCGTGCGAACGTCGTTTAGACTCATTGCAATCGAGGTTGAGATTGTTCGAGTTTTAAGTGTTATGTTTTATATTAATTAATTAATTAATCAATATAAACATTAGCGATTTCATCGCTAAAAGCGTCTTTTCGCGTTGTTGTTGATTTTCGAAACCAGTCACTGCACTTTTTGATATTATTGAATACTTTTTCCCGGAGCACAATAAATACACGTCTGCATGCGACGACGATTCGAATCGAAAATATTGATATTAATTTCTTTATGATTAGCAGAGAGTCAGCAGTAAATACTACAGAAAACAGTTTATTATAGTCAGAACAAAGTATTCTGGAAGGTAAGTTATAGGTCGATTTTAATGTAAATCATTAAAACTAATGGAACATTATGGAACTAGTAAATCTATTTGGCACCGAGAAAATTAGACTACCCAATAAGTAGGGACTGTAAATTTCACCACGTATACGGTTTCTGCGGTTTGGATGTCAAATTAATTAAGAGCAATCTTTTGGAATAAGAAAATAATTTCATCCCTATTGGATGGAACTACATTCTTTTTCCGAATTTATAATCAAAGTCTGGACTTAAAATTTCCAAGGTGTGTCAACTTTTTACTAAACGCTTTACGACATGAACGGTCATTTTATATATGCTTATACAAAAATCAAAATGTAGTTTATCTTAGCAAAACAAATTTTTTACAACATTCTTAATATTTTTTCTTTTCAGTTTGAAATTGATGAAAATGGTGCTCCGAAACTTGGATCAGGACTACGCGGGTTGGGAACTGATATTGCTATTATAAGTAGCATGGTTTTTTTAGCTCAATTTATTTTATCTATATGTATGGGTACAATTATTAAGGTATCAGGAACTACGACTGCTGTTATAAGTACCGCAAGCTTTTTGAGTTTTTGTGGAGCTTTTTCCGCAACCAAAATTATGTATTTGGATCTGTAAATCAAAGTTGAAATAAAAAAATTAGTCCATATTCTGTTTTAAAATGTAAAAATCAAATTATGAACAATAACTAATAAAATAAACTAAAAAACTTATAAACAATTTTTTTTTTTGTAAACTTAGTTTTTTTCGGTTCTTTATTCTTTATTCACATCCACTCTCGTCGGTTGCTCTTGTCATGTCCTGCCGTTTCGCGCGGTTGTGTTGCCGGCTAGCTAGCGTGATCCCAGGGGGGGAACAACCACAAATATTCGCGCAGCAGACTCAACAAAAAAAAAGAACAAACAAAACGGAATCTTTTTGGATCTGGACAACTAATTTGAACACAACGGAAAATTTTGGAATATCCAGATTGGACTACCTCACCAAATTGGTAGCCCTCGGAGTCCCACCCAACCATGAGGGCATCCTTGTGCAAATCTCGGACACCTCTCCCAAATATAGTTTTCATGGAAACATCTTTTATACCATCTCACTCCCCCCCACTTGAGGAATCTACTCGCTTACGTTCATCTTTCTTTTTAATTCATTATAAATTCAATCTTGCACTTATACATTAACACATATAACACCTAACACCTAACCACGGTACCGCGGGACGAATACATAGAACGTATATAAATAAATAATAAATAAATAATAATTAACTGTACAGAGAATAATAAATAAATAAGGCTTGTATCACATGTTAATATCAATAAATAAATAAATAAATAAATATGTGATGATTTTCAAGAATAAATATTTGGCCTATATAATTAATTCACTCACATGGAATTCATATCTTGGGGTTTCTGTTTTTTGTTTACTTAAGTCTAATTAATTTTGATAAATAAATAGTTAAGCTACAAAAACAGAAAAAAAAAAAAATAAAAAAAAATATAATGAACCTAAGTGAGTAGATATTCCCGTTGGTGGGGGGGGTGAGATGACCTAGCCGGACTACCCTGTCCACGACTTAAAATTTGGGAGATGTGTCCGAAATTGGAACGAGGATGCACTCATGGTTGGGTGGGACTCCGAGGGCTACCAATTTGGTGAGGTAGTCCAACCTGGATATTCCAAAAATTTCCGTTGTGTTCAAATTAGTTGTCCAGATCCAAAAAAATTCCGTTTTGTTTTTTTTTTTTTGTTGTGTCTGCTGCGTGTAAGAATTTGTGGTTGTTCCCCCCTGGGATCTCGCTGACTTGCCGGCAACATAAACACGCGAAAAGCAGGACATGACAAATGGCGCCCAATCTAAAAATAAAATATATAGAAGAAAATTTAATAAAATGGAATTATTAAAAAAATATAAAGTAAACACTCACCATGGTAAAGGCCAGTAATAAAATCTCAGAAACCATCTGTTTGGACCGTGGGCAGACGAAATAGGTCAGACCCATCGCAGCCACAGTGGGGAAATTCTGAGAAGTCCTTGTTGCTGAGCACAGTCCTTGAGGTGACAGGAAGACAGGCTAGAATGTGTCTGAAAAAATAAACAGTTGTCTGTTTTAAATGTTGTCTAAAGTAAAGTAAATTTTTAGTAACTTACCTAAATATTTTGTGTCTGTGTTTGGGATTGTTGTGGTCCATGTACACTGGTTACAATGTGTAGCATCGTTGCCCGGCAGTTGCAAGTATAGACTGAAAAAAAAGAAATTTAAATTAAATTGATTAAATACAAGAAAATACAGATATTTACCGGAAGCTAAGAGAGCCGGAAGCGGGAACTAAAACCAGCTGCTTGGACCGAGGGCAAACCGTAAGGGTTTAGATCCTCGAAGCCGCAGTGGTAAAATCCTGAATTCTCCAATCAGTAGTGGACCCATGGCCGAGTAACGAGCGGCACATGCGCAGCCAGACTGAAGTGAGGCGAAATCTGTTTGTAGCAAATGTAAAATGTCAAGTAAATATTGGTCTTTTAATGTTGTATTTTTTTTTGTAAAGTAAAAAGTTCACGTACCGATTTTGGCAGTCCGTATTATGCAAAAATTTAATGTGGTCCATGGACGATAATATCCAGTCGTAACATCGCTGCCCGTTAAAATTGCAGACGGATTCTGAAAAAAATTAAATTAATTATTAGGTGAATGAAAATATTGCTAATAATGTAAATATACACAACGGATTAGGAATTGAAGGAAAGGAGAGAAAAGGTAGTGAGTAGTGGACATAGCGACGTCTCATCCCCCCCCCCCATATTAGACAAAGTTGAAGAAAAAAGGAAATAGACAGAAATACATAGGCAAGGAGTTAGGATATGTCAAATAGTGATAGGGATAGAATTCAAATCGGAAGGAAAATAAGGAGAAGTTTGGAGTTCATTCGAAATAGGGGACCAGGAGGTATGACTCCGCCAAAAACTCGCTCGCAAACGAACCAAGAGGAGAAATTGGAAAATACATCGGCACCAGAAGGCATGGAGTCTCTGAGGGAGCAGGATCCGGAAGGAAGTGGAAGCGGAGTTCCAGGAGAAGCTAGTGGTCATCAATCTGGAAGCGGAACTGGTGCCATACCGAAGTCTCTGCCTTCTGAAATAAAGTCAGGAATTAATGCAGCACTGGCTCAGGCACATCAGACTTACCAGGTAGGGATGTCGTCGGAATATGATGCGTTTAAACACCAGATGCAACAGGACATGATGCAGTTCATGAAGGACATCAATGACTGCATGGCGGAGTGGCGAAGGGAGTTTGTGAAGGAAAACGCAGCATGGCAGGCGGCTACGCAGGTTCGTCAGACGCAAACCCAGCAATTTGGACAACGCCAAACAGGGACACAGATGCAGCCACTGCCAGGCGTAGCAGCGCCACCACTAGCCAAGCCGATGCTATCATTTGATCCGAGGATGCTACAGCAACCTCCGCCAAACATGCTGCCGTCCGTGCGTCACCAGATGGGATTCCCGCCGCCAACCTCGGGGGCATTCTCAGAGAGGCAGGAGCTGAATCGCCACGCCTCGGAAGGATATCCGCAAGCCGCCTGGTCGACAGATCCCGGAAACGGTGGGACACAGCAGAATGGTAATCCAGGGCAAGATCAGCGACGAACAAGCGGGGCAGCAGGCGAGTCCGCGTTTAAAGTTGGTCAGCTGCGGAAGTGGGGTCTAAGCTTCGATGGAAGTCCAAGAAGTATGCCTGTATCCGAATTTATATTTCGCCTCGAACATCTACAAAGGTCGTACCAGGTTCCATGGAAGGAGGTTCTAAGAGAATTTCACATATTAGTAGAAGGACAAGCAAAGGAATGGTACTGGATGTACGTGAGGTCGACGGAGAAGCAAGAGTGGCCTTACCTAAGGTATGCACTACAGCAGCAGTTCCAGAGTCACCGATCCAATTTCGAGCGAGAATACGAGTTGCGAGAGCGAAAGCAGAAGCCAGGAGAATCCAATGAGGTGTACATCCAGACCATGCTAGCGCTCAGATCTCGTCTAGAGATGCCTTTTTCTGACTTCGAACTGATAAAGGTGATCAAAATGAACATAAGGGATCAGATTTCGAGAATAATATACCCGATATACATAACAACCCTGGACCAACTCCGACACGAAGTCCACGACGCGGAAAGAATGTTGGCGACGCGATGGACCAGACAGTCAAACAACCTCGAAGCTAACCGAGGATATAGGGAGCGTCCGAGAGTGGATGAGCTATGTCCGGAACCAGTCGGAGAAGAGGATGGACCTGTGGATCAGGAAGAAGTGGAGGCATTAGCTAGACACTGGGAGAACCACAGAGAACGACCACCACTTACCTGCTGGAATTGTGGAACCGTGGGACATACGTTCAATGCGTGTGAGTCAGAGGTGTTGAAGGTATTCTGCTTCAAATGTGGACTACCCGGGGTGAGAACTCCAAGATGCACGCGATGTCAAACGGGAAACGGCGGGAGGAGCATGGGCAAGAACGAGGAACCACGCTCCAACCCGTTTGCAACGAACAAGTACAATCCTCGTCAAATTGCATGCCTAATGATAAGAATAGTGATAAAAAAATTAATAAAATTAGTAGGATTATGATAAATATAAACAAACCCGCACATAGCATTAAATGGTCGAAACGTGAACCTCTAGCAGTCCGAGAAGCAAATTATCAAGAGGCCAGGAACCGTATCATGGGTAAATATAGCCCAGACCGACACACTTCACCAAAAATTGCCAGAGCCCGTAGGCGAAGTCAGCAGCGAAAAAAGGAAAGAAGGATGATTTGCTCGGCCATCAGAGCTGCGATGGAAGGCGACAATAGACCATTCGCAAAAGTCATGATAGAAGACTTGGAAATCGTCGGTCTTTTGGATTCCGGGGCATCAGTCAGCTTACTCGGGGAAGGTTGCCTAGAAATAGTGGAAAGGTTAGGACTGAGACTAGAGAAATCACAATCGATAATGAAATCAGCAGGAGGTACGCAACATCGAGTAGTGGGAAAAATTCAACCCAACGTCTCGTACAATGGGATGATACATCGATTGCCGATACTCCTTTGTCCTTCCTTGAAACAAAAATTATACCTTGGGATAGATTTCTGGAGGAAATTCCAATTGGCCCCAGAAGTGGTGGGAGTAGAATCCTTACACCAGGTGGAATCCGAATTTATGGCCAAAGGAGAACCAATAGAGGCACATATTCTAACCCCGGAACAAGCTGGACAGTTGGAAGAAGCAAAAGGACGTTTTCTGACGTACGAAAATCAGGGATTAGGACTCACCAAGGTGGAAGAGCATTCGATCCAATTAGTTGAAGGAGCCGTACCCGTCAAGGAGAGATTCTTTCCAGTTTCTCCAGCAAAACAACAACTGCTGTTCGTAGAAGTCGATGAGATGCTACGGTTAGGAGTCATCGAGTTGAGCGAAAGTCCCTGGAATAACCGAACGACGTTGGTACAAAAGCCTGGGAAAAACAGATTATGTTTAGATGCGAGGAAACTGAATGCAGTGACTGTGAAGGATGCTTACCCATTGCAAAATATCGAGTCGATTTTGAGCCGAGTAGATGATACGATTTATATCAGCAGCATCGATCTGAAGCATGCCTTTTGGCAAGTGGAGCTG